TTCCCAAGTCACCACTGTGGGTGTCCTGGGGATGGCTGAACACCTGCCTGCCCATGGGCAGTGGTGAATTCATGTCTTATTTTGCTTTGCTTGTGTGTGCAGCTTTTGCCTCACCTATTAAACTGCCTTTATCTTAGCCCACAAGTGTTCTCTCCCCCATCCCACGGTGGGGAGTGAGTGTGTGGCTGTGTGGGGCTGAGCTGCTGACTGGGGTTAAACCACAAGCAGCTGTTAATGCCCCCAAAGTTAAACTATTTGAAGTATGAGCTGCCAGTTACTTAGAACAACCTAGAAATGACCTGTTAATCAAGATGGCTGTGCAGAGCCATCCCACTCTCCACCACAAAGAGCAATAGATCTGCTGGGGTAGCACTTTGAGGAAAAAGCACACCAAGAAGAAACAACATCCTCTCCAACAAACATTTTTATCCAGCTGCTCTTCTACTGGAAAAGCACAGCTTTGTTTGTTTGTTTTAAGTTTCTGTTGACAAGAACTCTCAAAGTTGAAAGTTGCAGCTCTTCCTATAATCACCTATTTTGATGAAAAAACATGAAACAAGCCATTAAAACTATGCCAAGACCACTGTACTTCATCCCTACAGTCATATTAACTGAGTGGACAGACACTGGTAAAACATCAGCCAGTTATTTGCCAGACAGTGCCATGACACTGACGGAAAGCAAGACTGGAGGTTTAAGTCAGAAAGAAAATGAGAGATTCAGGAAGAATGGAGAACCTCATCATGCCAAGAGGTCAAAGGATTTTTACAGCAACTCACTTCTTTCCCACTGGAAATGGCTAAGAAGTCTACAGGCTTCTGATCTTCAGAACAGTCCCTCACACAAAAGGAGATGATTTCAAAGAACAGGGGCTGGATTACACAACTGTACATCACAGGCATGTTTAACAGGTCAAAGGGCCTCAAAAGATTAAAACATCAATGTTTGTCAAATAATGGCTTCTTCAGATAGCTATGCCAAGACACCATCATTAGGCAGAGTTTGCCAGGTCCTAAAACCTCAAAAAACATTTGTGGAGTGCTGGATGGAGCTTTGAAATCCATCTCACATTCTTCTTTATTATGTCAACTTGCCCTTAAACCTTAAAGTGAGAGAGACAGGTGAATTTACAAAAACTGCTGTGGCAGTTATGGATTAGTATTGAATTACCATGATCAGCATGTGCTTAACCACCAGATCATCACCCCAGAGTGACCACTGGTGTGAGGGGAACTCACAAAGAGAGAAGGGAGGTTTGAACACCAAACCAAGGGTTCATCATTTTGCCAGGGTCTTCTCGAGCATTACATTTATGTATTTATACATACATACATACATAGATATTTTTAAAAATGGTTGCTCCACCACCTACAAGGTATAACTACACCACTCTAGCGACTAATACAGCAGAATACACATGGATATTATACAGCTGTTCCTGATTAAAGCAGCTAAAAGAACTTGAGGAGACTAGAAAAATCACAGTAAATAAAATACAAGAAATCCAGTGAAATTCATTGCCTTTCATCAGTTATTTCATCATAATTTATTTGTTCAGCAAAGCATAAGACTAGAACTTAAAGGATAACACTTGTTAAATCTTCTGTACTTGCCAGAATTACTTCTGGTAAGTAGCATTTTTGTAAATTTGCATCCAATTAGTATATACAACAAATGTTGCTTATGCACAGGGGAACTCAGCTTCCTGGAAAACATCCCTACAAATGGCCACCTGATTAGTCCCCATCAGGAGGAACATGCTGTATCTCAATAAGAAGACTGGGAGAAAAACAAATAGCAAAAAAGAGCAGTAGGCAGAGCTATGACGCAGAGAGAACAGGAGTGTGGCTTTGCTCATTTGAGGCACAAATTCAAAAGGGTAGAAAAAAATCCAGCTTATCTGCTGAAGTCTTTTAATTGCATTTTTCAGGACGATAACTTAAACCACACATCATCTTTCTGGAACATAAGTGAAGTTTTCTGGTGCTCTGAACAAGTGATTTCAAGCACTGAAAATATCTGGATTCTAGCCCTATTTCATACTCTTTCTGAATCATGTCACAAAGTAACTGATGACTTCAATCACACTGCAACACTGATTTTCTCCCCTGGATCAATATAAAACATTTCTAGATTAGGCTTTTGGTGCTAGGAAGAATTTCATCACTATCAATCTTATTGACTGACAGCTTAAAGTACTTGTATATGAAGAATCCTAGATTTATCTTTAAACAAGTTTCCATGTGTACATATGGACTGAACTCCAAACAATCCATACTGCCAGATAGCTCACAAAAAATGGGAAAGAAAGGAGACAACAGAGCTATGAAGGGAGAGGGAGTGAGAACCCAAGAAGGGTCCTGAAGGCAAGAGTTCCTGGGTAGAAGCTGTGCAGAGTGCCGAGAGCACAACTGCAAGAATATTTTGCTTAAATACAGCCCAGAGGCACGAATATACAACTGGAGACTCAGCAGACATACACTCTTAAACAGCAAATATGTCACTTGCTGCTCTCTATTTTAGTGAGGAGACTTCACCTCAAATTATAGACTGAAATCTAAACCATAAGACTATTTTAAAATGCAATTCAAATGTTGCACAGTATATACTGGACACAGTATTTATCTGCCATATTTATAGAGCAACCTCCCCCTCAAGCTTCCTTAAGCATTTCACAATCATTTATTTGCAGTACTGCACAAATATGATCACTGCTGGGGTGGCTTCCAGAATAACCAGAGCACAGGATATCCCTCAGCAATTAACAAAAAAGCCAGTGCACATTAATGTGGGTGAGCATTATGTTACAGCCCAGCTCCCCCTGATTGTATTCAAGGACCTTACCCACATTCTACACTTTTGTAAGAAAACCAACTTTTGTCTGTAAACAATTTCTCCACACAGCTCCAAGCAGCTCCCAGGACTGGTTCAGCCTGTGCACTGGATAAGCCAGAAGAGCTGATAAACACTTGGCATATGATTAAGACTGTTTCCATGCATATTCACAGGCAGGGTGAACTATGTGTTTAACAATGCTTAGATTTTGGCACTTCTCCATTTTCTATGTCTTTGCAATCATAGCTGGTCTATGTCCATGTTTGTGACAGATGTTTGCTCTGTCTGCACTGAGTGACCTTAGGTGCCTAAACCTCAGTGTGATGCAGGAAAACCAAAGTTAGAAGCACAAACTCCTTATATAGTAAAGGGAGAAAAACAAGTGCCTCCCGGAAAGGACTGATTTCATAGACCTAAGGTGATGACCTAAAGTGGATGTTGTGAAAACGTCCCTAAAGCAGCAAGTTTTTCCTATTTATTCTAAATATATATCTTTTTCCCCTCGGCAGTGCCAAAGGTCTGCTGAATTCACACAGATTTGATCAACACAAAAGGAACAGATGGTGGGAGGCCAGTGTTCAAGCATGTCTGGTTGTGTAAAACAGCACACACTTCCAATGTGTACATGAGGAAGCTCTGTGTGTGAAAGGGAGATGAATAGGAATTCATCTGAAAAAAAAGGAACACAATGGATATCATACAGGAAGTTTATAATGAGCAATTGAGACTGGGTCCTCAGGACAGAGTGCCACTGGTCACATATGTGGCCCAAAAGCCCACGCTGATAGGAATAGCTGTAGTCAGGCTGCTCCAGCCAGGAGCCACTTTGGAACATATGGCAAAACAAATGAGTCAATGCAATCTGCTCATTCTGCTGCTTCCCCCAAATATTGCTGTACTGACTTCCTCTGCTTTTTGCCTTATTACCCTGTTCCTATTTAAGAGCATGGCAAACACCTGCAGGGATGGCAGTGCCCTACAGGATTCCCAGCACACCAGGCTGCTGTGGAGGTTCTCAGACTGTTCCACAGATCAGCTCGAGATGTTTGCACATATCTTGTGCCTGACTCCTGGGAGAGAAAGGAAGAGAAGGGAAAGCTGGAAGGTTTATGCTGTTTGCACCTTTTTCTTTCTCACAGGCAAAAATGGATGCATTCTCCCAGTACATCTCTGGATTTCACACCAGGCACCCCAGCTCCCAGCCAGCATCACTTACTTTTAAACTCTGTGAGGCTTACAACAAGCAGAAATTTTACCATCTAAACCTCTATTCCCATCCTTCAGCTTTCTAAAACATCTGCCTTCAGGGCTATAATCTCCTGAGTCAAAAATCTCAGCAAACAATGGAAGGTTTGGGCTTTTTATGTTGAATTTTTTTTTCCTTTTATAGATGTGGCTGTACAAATAAATAAGCAAACACACTGTCAAGCAGTGACGTCCAAGACATCAGTGTTACCACAGCTCATCCATCTATCGTGAGTCTTGCCATGTTTATTATTTTAAGAGCCACAGATTTCCCCCAGAATCAGACTGTAGAGACTATAAAAAACTCTAGTCTGTTGTTTTTTAAAATTAACTTCTCCTAATGGCAAATGGAAGATGTTTGAAAACTTGAACTTTTAAAACTGAGACAGCAGGGAGTAAAAAACATATTCTAAGGTTTTCATGTAGGTCTGTTCTGTAAAGCTTAGGCTTTAAAAACAAATTAACCATTTCTGGGGATCTCAACTACACATACTCAGGCTGACAGATTGCTCTTGGTTTCATTGAGGTTCTTTTCCTGGTTCTGTCAGTAACCTGCTGTGTAACCTTGGGTTACTCTCTCTTCTCTGTGCTCTGCCTTCTCTTTTCTCTCTTCCTTCTTTGTCATTGTTTGGGTCACTAATCCTGTCCCTTTGAAGCTCTAAACATGTACCTTGGCATGTTGTAAGTAGTCTATTAAAACAATGGGACTGCTTACAAAGAACATTTATACATATAGTAGTATTATATATAAAATAATACCTAGATTTAACAAATGGAGTTTTGTGTATGTATGAAAATACATTAAAACCACTGAAAGCTTGTTATTTATCTCTATCTACTGCAACTACACACAATTGTTTTCCTTTGACATTTCCATTGCCAGCTCCAATTCTGTTTCTTATCTACAGAGTAGTCAGTACCATGTCACAGTGCAGCTCCAGGTTTAGGTCTCCTTTATTAGTGTGAAGTCGCACATATCCCTTCTTCTTCACATACTGGTACCTCACAACATCATCTTCAATAGCAGCTGTAGCAAAGGAGAAGACAAACAATTAGCTCTCTGGAAGCTTACTCACTGATCTCTAGAAATCATCAGAAAACAGTTCACAGATTCCCCTGTCTGACCTCTTCCCCTGGGTACTGGGTCTTCAGGGATTGTACCCTGCAATTTATCTCCAATAACCTCATATTGCAACCTCTGTGCAAAACACTTTCCAGTACAGAAAACCACCAACTCCTTGGGAACCAAAAATATAATCTATATTTTAAATCAGAGAAGCATTTAGTATTACAAACTATAATTTTCAAGTAATGTCTACCAACCACAAACTTTACTTTGAAACCAAATTTTTTCTTGTCAGTCTTGGAAGTCAAGCAGGTAGTCATCAGTCAACCACAAACTGCTGACATACAGAGACCTACCCAGTTCTGAAAACAAATGAAGCTGCTACTGGACATTTCTGGAAAGTCAAACCAAAGGATCAATCTAGGATGTTTCCATTTCCATTTTGTCAAAATGTCCAGTTAGTCAGATATTTTCAATACTTAAAGAGTCACCTGCAAATCACTGTAATACACCAAGTAAAGGAATTGAACTTGGGAGACACAGTATTCAATCTTTGCCTAAGTGTGTGATGTCTGAATTTTAGTGCCCAAAGTCAGACCTCTCTCTTTAACTGGAAATACTAATCACTCAGCTATTTAATCAATATCCAAATTAAATAAATTTTATACATTTTTGTTTAGGCTGGAGAATAAAAGGAAAACTTTATTGCACTAAAATGTATTCTCATGTTACCTGGAAAAGCAGTGAATCAAAAGTTATCACCACAAAACTTGCTGTCCTTCTAACCAACACTGAGGTAGGCCAAAAAGGTGGGCAAGACTTTGTATGCTATCTGAGGAAAGATTATACTTCATTCCTAACTTACATAAGGGAATATCTCGCTTTGTGGTCCCTAGGCATAAAAAATGTCCCATTAATTTCCATTCAACAAAAGTAACTGCCATTCAAAGCCAAAGCTAATTCATAATTGCTCCATTATTTTCAGAATGAGCTCACTGGAAAGTAAGTCTGTATCTGCTTAGGGAATACATTTCCGTGGCATTGGTACTGACCAGCCATCAGTGCATTCCTTCAGTCCTAATCAGTGTGTGTGTGCCAAGGAGCACACTTGAAAATGGAAGGGAGGGAGGGGCTCTGGTACCTGCTTCGTGAGTAGTTTCAGGCACCATTGCAGTGGAGGTGAAGGAAGCACTTACAGCTCCAGTGGAATAGTGAGCCTGTTTGCAGAGGAAAAAGCACATGAAAAAGGCATTAGATCTTAGAATTTATCTCCTAAAGATACTATATAAGCACTAGAAACACACAAATGTCATCCTTCTGAGGGCAAACTTTCTGCTCCAGCTCCTACTGACAGAAGCAAATATCCAGAGCAGCAATAATTCTCCATCTGCTACCCCAACATGTGCTCTGATGAAACTGGAGTTAAGGCTGCTCATGAGCTGAGCCAAAGGGGCTTAATGTTTCCACTACAGTTTAATACATCACTATGCAAAGATTCTATTATGAGAATTTATTTGTATGTCCACAGGTGGAGATAGGAAAGGAGCACTGCTGGCAAGACATCTGTAAAAGTCTCCAGTGTTGCTGAGTGAGTGGAAGGAAACCAGTGAAGCAGAGATAGCACAGGGGAGAGCAAAGCACCCCCTCCCACACAGGGCCCCTCTGCCAGCACAGGCTCTGTCCCACAGCTCCCACTGTCTATTTTGAGCCCTGTAATTCTTCTGCAGAAAGGAAATGTTAACGTCACACATGGATTTTGGAGTAAATTACAAAGATCTAATAAACCCTGAGACAGGTTTAGCAGCTTTGCAGCAATGCCTGTAAAGAATCCAGGCCAGGCCAGTGCTCATTCCTCGAGGTTTCACTGCACCCTAAGGAAGTTACAGCCATGCCCATCCACCTCATCAGCTGACAATCCCACTCCCTAACATGTGAGAGCTCACCATTGTCTCTCCCCTCCTTTTCTTCTCCCTACATTTTTTTTATTATAACACAACAATGCCCTGAAAAAGGAGCAAATGTGATCCTCCTTCTTGGTCACATCCATTCCCTAATCCGTCCCTAAGCCTGCTCACTAAGAGCTGTAATCAAAGCAAGTAGGCACACACATCCCAGAATTATTAAAGGGCAGAAGAATACTCTGTCTTGCCCATTACAAACAGCCTTTGATGTAGGAAATCTAGATGTAGATGAATTATTTCTCTTGAGAACCATGAACACAGAGTAACATGCACCTGTAAGAACATCCTTTAAAAAATTCCACTAAAATCCTGCATTCCAGTGGAAAAAGAAATGGAGAAGCAGCTGTGGATGATTTCTATATTTGCCCACACCAGAAATGATTCACTTGCACTGCCCTCAAGGTGTGCTCTTTCTGCCAATAACTGCAGGAAGCAATGATAAACAAATTCAAAGTGAGAGATTACAACCTGGGAAAAAGGTTCTGCCAACATACACATCATAACCACATCAGAAGGATTCTTCTTCTTATTGTGCTCCAGTTCTCAAATGTGTGGGTTCATTTACAATGATTTAACAAACAGAAACTCACTGACACATACAATGCTGTTCTAAGGAATCCCAATACGATTCTCAGATTTTCATCTATGACAAATTTCCATGTGACAGAAAACAGAAGGAGCAGTGTCTGGTTATGCTGCAATATGGCCCCTAAGCTGAAAAACATCTATTACCATTCTTGAAGAAGTCAGTCAGTGCCAAACTGCAAATTAAGTCAACTTACTGCATTCAGCTTATCCACCTTCTTCTTTTCAGGAGCCTTCATAGTAGCTGCTAAAATATCATCGCCTTTGAATTCCTTATAAAGCTCCAGTAAAGTCTCTCGGGTCTCTGTGTTTGTATTTTTCAAATAGTAAGATGGATCCAATTTTGCTTTTTCTTCATCTAGGTAAGACAAAGTTAAAACACTTCAGAGTTAAAAGAAACACTGTATTTTGTTCTCCTTCAGTTTATTACATATCTAATCACACGAAACTCTGCCAGGTATTAATTCTATTTTTTTTTTAAACAAAAAGGTTTAGTTACTATATTTATTCCTGCAGACAGTGACAAATTGCAACACTTATGACACTGTAATATAGTGTTGCTCGAAATATAGCACAATAAATGCCAATATGATGTACATGAAAAGAAAAAAATAATTAATCCAATTACTATAAAAATTTATTTGAAACCATGAGAAGTTACCTAAGTCCATTCAAGCCTTGGAAAATTTTTATAGAACAATAAAGGCAAAATAAAGTTGGATACAATATAGACTTCTGTTCTTCATCTCCTCACTGAATGGCCAGGCCTATGATGCAAAAATCCCAGGATCAGATCTTTCATGTGATACTGGGGGAGAAGGTTGCTTGACTGGACTGTAGAATTTGATTTATTTAGTTTTTAATTTTATTTTTTTAATTTTTAAAAGTTTCACTTGTTCTCTATCTTGATATGCCTACTATTTGCTAGATATTATATATGCCATTTCTGAGATAATACCCACTTATTCTGAGCAGGTAAATAGAAAGAGATGCTTGCTTGCAGAACAGTAGATAAGAAAACCAAAAAAAAACCCCAAAAACCAGATATGAGCATAATAAGACCCAGAGAAACACACTTTGCTTAGAATTAGCAATCAGACCTCATTAGAAACAGGTCTATAGGAACCCACAAGGGCAAAGGAGAGAATTTTTTTCCTTCAGCAGTTTAATATTAGCAGATATTACTAAGCATTTAGCTATCAAAAAATCACAAAATAAATGAGAATCAAATGTCTAAGATATGTAGAAAAAAAACATTGTATTTTTCACCAAAACCATAATTTTGGGATTATTTGAGAAAAATCCTACTTGGAAGATGCCCATTGTTCTCAAGTCAGAAGGATGGGCAATACATTGCTGATAAATATGAAGGGGGTCTAGCAGAGAGTGTGAGAAGAGGTAGGTTCCCTTGTCTTGGTTCTGGTACGAGGCTAACAGGCCTCACTTCTCTCTCATGTACCCACTCACTCTGAAAGGGCATGGAAAGCTTTCCCTGTTTGCACAGCACTCAACAGAGACAGTTAAGGAGTTCTCAAAGAATCATGTCTTTGCTTCAAAATATGTTTACACTTTTTGATGTGCAAGGGACAGATTCCACAAGTTATTCATGTTTCCAAGAAACTTTCCAAGCACCAGCCATTGAGGGATGTCCATCCAGAAAACAGAGTCAATGCCACATTTGGGCTGGGGTTTTCTCAGCCCACCTTCATCTCATCCTTACCTGGATCAACTACTTTTATGTTGTTCTTAACGTGAAAGAAGTTTGAGACATTGAACTTATCCAGGTTTGTTGGATCCTGAAAATAATAATTGAAAAAAGAAATGTCAGAGAGCTTGGTGGGCACCAGTTCCTTACAACAGAGTAGTCTGAAGGGTAGACACCACCATAATAAAAGAACAGGGGGACACAGAACAACTTCCATCCTCCCCAAACCACAGAAAGATAAAAAAATACAAAGCCATCCACTAGTGCCTACAGAATTATGTTTAAAAACAAAAAAAAAGCAACAAAAATGCTCTTATGAAAACTCAATTTAGTGACTACAGGAGGAAAACAGCAAAAACACACAGTCCATTAACTGGGAGTCTTTGCACTATCTCTAGGCAACTTCCTGCAAAACTTTGACCTTTTGTTAGAAAGAGTGAGACAAGGAATGCCTACTGGTGATCCAGGTTACATTATACTATTATTAAACAGTCCTTAATCCTCTTCTTACAATTACCTCAAGATTTTCTCCTCAAGCTCCTCTGGAGCACAGAAAGGTCAAAACATCAGTCCAGGACACCCAGTCATTTATGGAAATTCTATCTTACAGAAAACAATTCAAACTAAAATACCAGAGTAACAGAATAATATGCAATAGTTTCAAGGTCAGGATAAAAACAATGCAACATATTATGCAAAGAACTATGACCTGACATGAATAGTATTATATACACTATATATTATCCCAAACAAATTTAACAAAACTTCTCAGACCACCAGTGTTGAAGTTCTGACAATTTCATCTGTGCTAAAAGAAATGTGTAATACAAGCAGAGCTGGGAGCTCCATAATTTATTAAGTGATCTAATTATGCCTTTTATTCACCCCTGAAATGGTATTCTTCCACCAGAGCGTGCATTTTTAGTTTTGTTGCTGGTAGTAAAACCAGAACACATTTATGAAATCAAGCTGTGTGATTCTGCACTCCAAGGTTGACCTTTGGGCTTTCCCAACCACTAGATAACAGTTTTCTGGTTTTGCCTGTCCCACTCTACCCCTCCAACAGATCTTCATTGAGACATGGACTGCCAAAAAATTACAGCTTTTCTCTTTAAGAGCTTGCATTAGACACAGACAACCTTTAAGTTAAACTACTAAGAAATAGGAAATTTGGACCTGTTTCTTAACCATTTAACCATTTTTGTATCCTCTGACACCAGTACTCTGACTCCTTGCAGACCACAGCCATCCATCTGCTTTCCAGGAGACCTGAGACAACTCCAAACCCCAGAAATGAGACTGAGGTCTCCTGCACAAGGTCCTCCATCACATCCACATGGGCCATCTGTTGAAACGGAAACCTTACAAAGGTTTGGTTTCCACCATTGCCCCTTGTATTCCTGATTCTGCAAAGCAAGAGTCACCACACATTGAGAAGGGGGACAACCCATGCACCTACTCCAAAACAGGTTTCCCTCTGTCAGTGGAAAAAACCCTCACAAATAGTTCCTCAAGTTGAAACTTGAGTATCATCTTACACAGGACACCTGGGACATATTTATTCCTCCCTCTAAAACACAGCATCATGATACACTAGGAGAAGTTTGATTAGAGTTAGCATGGATTAGAATTAGCATGCTAAGTGTGAGAGCAGCGCAGTGAACGTTAAGCACAAGACACCATTTGTTTCTATCACCCCCAAGAGCAGAAACACATCTGACCAGTCCAACCTGTGCTGCAGAAGACACAACCCATTTCCTCACTGATGGTACTGAGTCCTACAACGTGAGAGACACATTTTTTGAAGGTAGGACTACCTAACTTTTAGAAGTGTGCCCAGTCTTTAGACATATCACTTCAGGAAGAAAACTGTCTAAACACTAATAGTTAGGCTGCCAAGCTCGGCTCATTGCATCCCTGACAGGAACTGGGCACAGAACCAGAGCAGTCTGAACGAGAAGCCGCAGGGATGGGCAGATGGATGTACCCACACCATCAAAGCCTCAAGCTCCTGGTCAGAGAAAGGCCAGGCTCGTGGTGATGTTCCCAATCCTGTTAAGATTAAGGACTAGAGTTCAAAGACTTAAATAAGTTCTGTGTAAGTGCACAAAACCAAAACAGAAGATGAACCATGAAGAGTAACTCGGCCTACTTTTGTTTGTCTTAGCATGTCTAAAAATATGCATTCAAATCACCATGGTTGGCAGTCTCAGGGCTTTTCTTATTAAGGTTACAAACCATAAACTCCTGTTTAGCAAATCACTAGCACAGATAAAGACTTCAAAGGGTTGCTAACTATCATGACTATTAAAAGTCTCAAATTTAATGTTTTCCAGAAAGCTAAACTACGAAAACTATTAATTTCAAGTTTTATTCCACTTGGTTTTTTCCTGTCATTTTCTAGTTTTACCTACTTAGGGAAACAGCTTAAACTCTGTTAATCTTAAGCACCATACACACAACTTGCCAAAAAGCAGGTTAAACCCAGCAGTTTTAGACCGTGTGATTTCTTGGAGGCCTGATCCCCCTCCTACCATGTGGTTGGCCGTGCTGGATCCCTCATTATTCTCAGGGCTGTCACCTTCACATGTGACCATGTCCCACTCCTTTACCAGCTCCTCTGCACACCCATTGGCACAGGGCTGGCCCTCCCAGAGCCCTCAGCCACAATTGTGAGGAAATCTGCTCTGACCTTCTGTCACACACAGAGCAAAGAGGAATGGCTGGGGAGTGAAATATCAATTAACAGTGTGCAGTTCACCCACCTCCAGCTCTGCTCATCAGCTCTGCTTCCTGCCACAAATGTCAGTGCTGTTTAACAGCTTGCTGGGAACCACATCTTGTCCACAGCTGATTGGGTTATACAGAAACAATAAAAGTGACATATGGAAGCACATAACAGTATGAGCCTTTCAATTTTTTCCTTTAACAGGAGCAAACCTGGTAGCATTTATCCACACCCTTTTTTCTTTTCTTCTTTTTGCCCCTCCACTTCTGCAGTGCAAAGAAGATGCATTTTTTAGCATGGATCTACTAGGGAAGACTCTCTGCAGGCTGCCAGCAGAGCACTGTGCCTGCTGCCACTGGCACAACAGGGCTACACTGCAATTCATCCAGCAGAGAGGAACACACCACGTCTGCTCTGCTGTACCTGCAGCCACGGAGGTGGGTTAGGGTTAGGGTCATTTAAGAGAGATGTGAACTGGTAGAGATGGGAGAAAAACTATATGAAACAATGATAAACTGTAAGGAAAGAGAAACTTGGACAGTGTAAGACCTGTACTGCAGAAGATGGAAAGTTTGACTTGAGTTTGTGGCAAGATCACAAAGCCAAGAAATGGAAATTTCAACTTTAAAGTAAAGAGCTAGAGTCTAAAGTATGCAGTCATACTAGGAGTGCTGGTGTCCAGGAAGGGCATCATATGGAACAATGTCACATGTATTTCTGGCATTATCAGCAAGACATTAAATGAGAATCCATGGCCTCTTTTGCTTGAATAACTGCACTCCAGTTCTGGTAATCCATCTCACACCCCAGGGTCTGGTGTTACTCGTTACCTCCTGCCCTGCATGGCTGGATAATATCACCATATGCTGAAGAAAAACTGCCACACTACCCCAGGACATTTGCATTTCAACAGGGGAAAAAGCAATTTCTGTATGTGGATTTGCAGGAAGCATTGAGGACTCCTTTGCAAAGACACGAACATCATAGATGTAAGACAGTATTATTAACAACTAAAGTTGTGCTTTTGCTTTTTTTAGTTTCAAATTAAAAAAAATTGCCTTTTTTAACAAGTAAACTTTATAGCAATAGGACAGAAAATTCAAAGCTACCAGCTGAGATGGTGCTTAGCAGAAAACATAACAGGGAAGGATTATGATTGGTGTTTGAATAACGTTTAGCACCGAGAACAGAAAAATAATATTATGCAATTATGTCTCCTCTGAAAAGAGCAAATTTTTTTGGTTTTTTTAAATTATATATATTAGGACAGAGAAGCCAAGTTTGAGGTCAATTGCTATTCTGGTAAAAGAACACCCCTAGCAGCTGTAGGAATTCTCTTTATGTATCAATAAGGAAAAATGTGATGATACAAATAATCTGTAAACACACATTATTTATATTTTCCATTTATCATGTTGTATTTCACTACCAAACACAGGTATGTACCTCATCTGTTTCCTAGGACATTCAGAGTCAGCCTCTGGAAATGCTAATTTCTACTGCTAGCCACACTATTACAGACAGCCCTATTCAGCTGATATTTGCAAAGCAAAGAATGTTTTTCTAGCAACTTCCTTTATATCTACTTTTCTGCCAAACAGCAGGGTCAGTGATACCAACTCACTCCCAATTGCAGCTCTCCTGGATACCACAGTGCTCAATTCACATGGGGGAATGGGAAAAAAACAAAGGGATGAATTTCAACCCAGAACTGAGAGGTTTTTAAGAGAAGCAGGATTTGGGACAGAGCTCTGGTGAAACACAGAAACACAGCAGATTGCAGTCAGGAACTCTGGCTAAGGAACAGAGCCACAGGTGGCAGAGCTTGGCAGTGGGGAGCCACCACGCTGCCTGCAGGGTTGTCAGCAAGAGAGCCTGTACAGCAGACATCAGGCTGGCTTTCAATAATTTAGATGAAGAAAATATCAGGAGAAAATAACAACACATTTCTATATCACATACACTCAAGCAGTTTTAGTGCCCACACTAGTCATGCCACTTCAGGTTGAATCCTGGCCTCACCAGAGCAAGTCAGAGTAGGGCAGCATTTGAACAGGAGAAATCAAGTTACATATGCAAGTTTGCAGTGGGTGATGTGCAGTGCAGGAAATGGCTCTTAATTCTCCTTCAACACCCTGAAGCCATTTTAGTCTGTTTGTTGAAAACTCTTCTTGAAAAAAACAATTAAAAACCAATTTGGTGAAGGTCAAACTTTATCTGGTCATACAGATGGTCAAGTCTCTTCCAGTCCCATTCCAAGATGGGGCATTTGCTATTTCTAAACTTATTTAGGAAGAGTATAGCACTGCAGAAGTTAACAACAACCCCTAATGAACTGTTTCCTTCAGAGGAACAAATCTACTCACACATTACTGATGCCACCTTAACATGCCATCAGTGTGAGAGGGGCAGGCAGTGCATGGCCGTGCCCTCCTGGCACCCAATGCCCCAGTGACTGCCCAGCTACCAGAATATACTTGGTTTGTGCCAAGTTATTCCTCTGAGTGAGACAGAAACATGTCAAGAACAAAATGAAGATGAAAAGTAGTGATAAAAACCCACACAGGGAATAACTAAACTGCTGGCTGCTGCCCTTTGAGACTTAGGGGACTAGAGCATCTGTGAAAAATCAAGGCTAGGCAAGTAAGAAGAACACACTCTTTACACATACATTCAATTCCAACCCTATAAAACACACAAAAATACTTTTTTAGTGACTGCACATTTCAATTATTTTTTCAAATTAACTTCATTTTCCATACTGCTGCCCAGACACATTTTTAGCCATTCATGTTGTCCTTTTTTATATTTCCAAATCCATTACCAACCATGCAGTTATAATGAAATTACATTCTGTTGGGAACTTTCAGTCTGAAAAAAGATCTTCCATTTTTTGCTTCCATTGGATTAAAAACATTTTACTTTGTTGCATTAGCTTGAACAGCAACAGGCCCAAAGGAACAGAGTAAAAATATTTAAAAACATGCTGTGAAGCACTGGGGAGTAGGGAGGAAGGGCTACACTTAATTTAAATTTAGACATAAATGAAAAATATTTTTCTATTTGAATTAGACTGTATTAGTCTTGGTTAGTGGCAATGAACTGTTCATGAGATGCATACTAACTCGTGATTTCTATAATAATGATCCTGGAATCCTTTTCCCCCTGTTTTCAAATCATGCAAGCTTATAAGTGCCTGCCTTTAAACTGAAGTTTTAGAACTTTTGATACTAAACTTCATCTGTAAATAACTGTCTTTTACAGTCTGAAGTTTATACTGTTGTTTTAATTTCGTTTTTAATTCTTTTAAAATTAGTAAAAGACCAATACTGGTATTTATTAAGAAGAAAAACATTCTGAAAAAGCATTTAGAGAAAATACTCTGATTTGCTGCTTATTTTACTCTCCTTTAGAGAAACACCCTATAGAAAATGCTTTTCTGAAGCTTTGACTCTTTTAGACATCTTCAAAAGAGTGAGATGGACAATCAACTTCAGTCTTAATGCAACATGTCAACTTCCTAAAAGTTTAAACACTTCACATTCTAACCCATGTTTCTTTTGATGCCACAGACCATGTAGGACACCTCACTGCTCTTCCAGACTGTTACAAGGCATGGTTGTAGCTCACCTGGATAACAAAGTAAATACAGCAGAGTTTCTCTGTTCAAGCATTCTAGTTTTCTGCTAGAACAGTGGAATAGCAACCTCTCACCTGCTGCAAAAAATCTGGTTTTATATTGGGCTGTATGGTACAACAGGTAACAGGGAGCAAAGTTTACCTGCAGTGTCACAATGTCCTGCCGAGTGAAGGGCTCGTCTGTCAGGAGATCCTTGTAGCTCTTTGGTTTTATGTTCAGCTGCTCCACTGCCTAACAGCCAGGCAAAGACACTGATATTAGAAATGGGATTCTCATGTGTAAGTATTACAGTAACTATGTGCTATCAATAAACTCTTACAGCACAAATCATAAAGAAACAATTTCACCTCATGCAATATTTTCACTATGTGCTTCAACAAACAAGAGGCTTTTGTCTCTCATCCCTACAGAACTTGACAGTTTTGTGTGGCTTGATGATTTTTTTTTAAAAAGAATCTTGCAGTCTCCGTTTAAATCAAATTAATCATAAATGTACTGCCAAAATAAGAAAGATCTTGCTTTCAGTTTTCTAAGCTCTTATCTGCAAAAAACCCCCAGAATCTGTCTTATTCACCCAAATGTCCTGTGTCCTCCTCAGATGACAGTGATAATATTTTTCTAGTACCTCTACAAGTCCCTAAATTAATTCCATGCTTATAACAACCCAAGAAATGCTTTTGCTTCACGTGGTGCCACATGGGACACAGACCCTCTTGGCACAGCTCCTTCAGGAAGCCCAGGCCTGTAAACTGCAGCAAACAGAGCAACAGTTCTGCAGTACTGACAAGGGTTTAACAGAGACCACTCTTCAACTCACCCCTGCCTTTTAACCACAGCAATCAAAGCCCTGTGCTTCTAGGAGGAACAGAGAATGCTTCCTATCTGAACCCAATCTGGACTGCTCTCACAGCTGGAATGAAGACAGTTCAGTTACATCTGAGCAAGTTTTCAAAAAGCCCTTCCTTGATTGTAATGGTTTCAGTTTGTTCCTCTCTCAGTGTCTGAAAGTCCCTCCAGAATTCAAAAAGCAGATGTTTCAGTGTTCAGACTTTTTACAACTCTGGATATGGATTCATTAATTGAAGGATTTATTTGGTATTGAAAAATAAATAAACATTGCTTTTACAGCAAGGATTATGCAAAGATAAAATTCCACTCAGGTTCACAGAAATGTTCACAAAACTCAAATGCAAATGCAGTTCAAGTGTCTACTAAGGCATTCTCTCTGCTATTCCCCCAGCTCCACCTAAAATAGTCTTTTTTATTCATTATGATATGAGTAGAAATTAGGCAATTTGTATTTTGCTGATGACAGCAGAAAGAAGACAACAGAAAACTTGTCTTTTAATTCAACTGAGGAGCATATAAAAGCTACTCATATTGATCTACAAGATTCAGTGCATGCAGATTAACTTCAAAAAAGGTTTTAAAACCATAATTAATTCACATTCTAAGGTTGTTCCTATTTTGATAGCAAAGGTTGGACAAAAATTTGTGAAGTTGGTTCACCTCTTTAATTTCCCTGGCAGTAAAATAAGAATAAAATCTACCTGTCCTTCTAAAACATTCTGTGATCTTGAATGAAATGCATCAAGTATAAAACATTAATAACGAAATGCAAGAGAACCTACCTCATAGGCAAATACATTTCCAGTAGTCTTGATGGCCACAATATGGGAGTTATTGGTGAATACAGTGAATAGCACTGGACAGTGGTACTTGCCTGATAGAAGGTAAAAAAGTTTAAATTTCACATGAAGACTTGCAACTGTTTGGAATAGCTAATTTCTCTTATCTCCGTGGAGAATATTTACATTAATTTTTAATATGAAGTGTAACTTCAGAGTATTTAATGGCGTTTTAACAACATTTTGATTCTCCAGTGGCAGATAAAGAGCTAGAAAAAGTAACACTTCAGAGAACTATAAAACAAGCAAGTTTTGAAATCGATTGCCTTCAATCCCCCGACACAGAAGTTTGTCTGACTTGGTTGACATCTGAGCAGTACCAGCCTGTTGTTGTAACCAAAGACCTACTGATAACATGAGCCTGTCCCCTGTACCATGGCCAGTGCTCTGGAACACTCTTGTTCCCAGGAATAAAAGTTTAGCTTCTATCCTACAGAAAAGTTCCCAGCAGCTGTTGTGCTTTTAGGAGAGGGGAGCATTTGTATTCAACTGTGGTAAGCAGGATGCCATTAAATTTGAACATGTTACTCAAAAGGAACCCAGCTTCTGCTCTAATCAAGCTGTGAATTTTCCCAGGAGGGTCAGCATAAATATTAAGCATGTCAACAGCAAGCAAACTGATGGGGGGCAATGTAGGAAGAAAAAGAAAGATGTCTGGATGATCTCAGCAGAAAGTAATTAGAAAAAGATTATTAATACTTGATCAGTTTGCTAGACCTGGGGGTTTGGGTGAGATTTTTGAAATAAGTTGGGCCTATTTGGCTCTTTTTTCCCTAATTACCACTTGAAAATCCAAAGCAGCAGGGAGGCCAGAACAGGCTGCTGACAGCACCGGCAGACAGGAGAGACAAACACCCCCAGAGATGAACCAGGAGACACCCACAGAGAGCCAGAGGCAGCTCCCAGCCCAGCACGAGGTAAACCTGAGCCTGGCTCTGCTCCTGCCAGCAGAGCTGAAGGAAAGGCACTGCCACCAGGGACTGACACTGAGAGGGAGGTTAGAAAGGGATTTCTGGAAGTGGCCTCAGGGTATGGCCCAAGTGATGGACACAGCAAGCCACTGGTACAATGTGAGGGCTCGCTCCAGCTGCATAACAGAGAGCAAAGGCCCATGTTCTCAGTTCTAGCAAAAGCAAAACTACCTGTTGATCTGGATAGAAGGCACTCAGCTCGGGAGGGATCATTAAATGGAAGAAACTGCAATACCCAAAGATCTTTTATATCACACAGGTGTGAACAGAGAGGATCCTCATATGTAGCAACCATCCTACATGCTAAGATTTAAAGAAAAGTTGCTGATGGACAGAAATACAACATGTTAATTTTCCTCTTTTGTTGCATTTTCCCTTGATCAATTAATGCCACAGAATGCACCCTCCTAAGGAAAAGGCTTCTGGCTGGCTGTCATCATTCCACACCAGCATTATGAACTGGACTCCTTTAAGGAAAGCACAATATCACAGTATTTTTCAAAAACCTTGGCCACAGAAACTATTGATCAATTTTTAACACCCTGCTCTTGAGACAGATGGAACACAAGGTGCAGAAGAAATCCATCAGCTACAGAGAAAGCTTGTAGTCCATGGACTTTGGTAAGATAAGGAGACAGACACTCCAGAATTTTATTCCCACCTAATCTTTGCCACTCATTTCAAAGAAATCATTATCTGCTCTGTAGCAGATGAATTCATCTCCACTCTTCTCTTTTGTTCCCAGCATCCTCTCTTAGATGGCAGATTTTTTATCTTGCAGAAATAAAACTCGAGGCTGCTGTCTTGTGTGCTTCTACTCATAAAATCCCACATGTTCATTTAAGTCTAATCCCTTTTATAAACAAAAACCTGTTCAAAACCAAGTGAGCAGCAAATATTGCCATAGGCAAGTTAGAAATAAGATAACATTACAGAAATTTGGCCTTTTCTGATTCTTTCCTTAAAGTAAACAGTACCTTGCTGCAGTAGCAGCTCTAGTGAAGTGAAATTGCTGAATAATTTACAGCTCCCCAGTGTAAAGAAAAACAGAAATTGAACTTTAAAGGTAAACATATCACTCATGAGAAGTTATTCTACTCAAAAAATAAAAACCATGATAGAGAACAAAAACTATGTAACTTTACCATGAGTAAGATAAACTAGAATTTATTAAAGCACTCATTAAGGAAAAAACCCCAAAAGACAACAAAACACCATCACAGAAAATGACTGCACTTACCTTCACTGTTTTTAGCAAAATTCAGCTTTATAAGTGATTTGGCATCTAGTTTCTAAAGAAAATAAAGCATTAAAAAGATTAATCACAACAGAATGTAACTAAGGAAATAAAAGGAAACTGTAACATCACTGTTAGGATTTTAATAGTACACAATTTATTAATAATATTTTGCAAGTTGTCTGAATCATCAGAACCCTGGGAATTTAAGTCACAGACAGCCCACCAAAACAAGACTCCCAGAGCCTGAGAACTGGGATACATTTGTTTACAGGGCTGTATTTGACACAGTACAGTGCCAACCACAGGGAATAAGCTGAAGAAGTTGCACTGTGTCTTAGCACAAACTGAAAGGGGACTTTGCATGGAAAGCTAAGAGGCAAAGATCATTGCTGCCTATCAGAGGGGGCAATTCAGCTGGGACCAAACCATAAAGCCACCAAACCATTTTGGCAATCAAGCTAAGAAACAGTTTAGCATGACTGAAGATTCAGATTTAGACCTTGACAGAAATTTAGCAGAAAAGACAGACTAAACTGCCATGCAGACTTCCAGGGCAGCAAAAGCTGCAGTGCACTGTTTCATCTGGCAATGTAGGATGTATCATCAGAAGTGCTGTCAAGCCCTTGGACTCTGACTCCATACCCAGGGAAATCATACGGTATTTCAGGTCACATCTTTCCATAATAGGGAAAAAGGCTATTTTTCAGCATCAGTTACTCATGGTGCATCAGCTGCTCGTGCTGGATCTGCTCCCCACTGAGACCAGCACTTACACGACAACAGTAAATAAAAAAATGGTGATTGTCAAGGAGGAGTTGAGATCTGCACACTGCCTGGAGTCTGCTTCCAGGGTGGGAACTCTGTAGTGAAATGCTGTATGACTACTATAAACTTTGATTGCTGCAGACTGGCCTCCCAACAGACTCATGTTGAAGAAGTGACCTTGGCCTGTGCACTCACACCCTTTGGAGCAGCTCTGTGCTTCGGCCTGTGTGGCGAGGCAAGAGGGGGATCAGTGTCTGGCCAAAGGAAATCTTTGGAGCCCCAGAACAGGTGATGATCTGCTACAAAGGACTGCTCAGTGCCCAAGACCAACTGCAGGATCTGACAACTGCCCACAGAGCAGCTGCAGAGGAGGGAGTCCACACCCCAGGACTGCTGGGAGGTCCAGTTGTGCAAGACCTACACACTCCACAGGAAAGGATGAAAGAACATGATACAGGCAACATGTGTAATATTATTTTTTTCCTCTCAAGTTCTTCATTTCACATGAAAACAGGATTATCTTGTGTGTGTGTGAATCTCCTTTTATTTATTCTCCATCAAAAGTCAGAGCTTTCCAAGCACCATCACACAGTTTGTTGCCATGGAAATGACCATTATGCCACACACCAGCGCCGGCCCTCACGGGGAGAGACAGCAGGAATGAATGAATCCCAAAATGAGTTAAAGTGCTTGTCTTCATGTATTTCTTAATAATGCATCAGAGAACAAAAATATAGCATACACAGCTCAAGTTCAAAACTATTTCCAACCTGAGTTTCTCTGACACACACCTACCATCCAGTTTCAGCTACCCTCCAGTGAAGAAAGCAAGGGAAAATAAAGTGTTTATTAAAAACACTTGATCTAATCAAAATTCTAAATTCTTAATGAAAATGAAAGGCCACAAGCATCTGCCACTTCCCCTAAGCAGAAATAAGAGCTGCATATTCACTTCTAAAAATATTTTATGCAGAAATACTGGAAAGCAGATGCATTTCACAGCACGTAGTGCCAGCTGCTCCACAGCAAGGAAGGGCTAAAAAAAACCAAATGCAAACCGTGTGAGCTCTTCTCTCAGCTGACTCCTCTCTCCCAGGCACACTTCCACAAAGGCAGCCAAGGCTAGGTTTGGCCATGACCTACTTTCCTGCAGCAGCGAGGAGCCCCAGCACCCTGCACACTGTCAGCTGGCAGCGCCGGCTCCTGCGGGATCCCACAGGGCAGCATCTCCAGGATGCCCACCCGCAGGTCAGTGGGGCACTGGGGCAGCTCCTGGGTGGAACACGCCCATTGTTTGCAATGAAATCCCTCCCTGTCACTGCTGTTGTGTCTCCATGAAGAATGACCTACAATCCCCACACAGCAATTAGTTACACTCTCTGAACCTCTTTGGTCCGTGGCTGCACGTTCTTGTTAATGAGGCTCTGGCCTGGTGGGATCCACAGCAGCCTGAAAAGCCACCTCTGCTCACACGTGGGCAGAGCTGGGATGGGTGGGAAGAGTTGTGTTCAGCACAGACAGACCTTCCTGCTCTACAACAGCAACTGAGGAAGGGCTGAAATGTTCAGCACCCTGATGGAACACACTGAATGGCCTCTGCCAGGAATACACAAAAATCCAAGGAAGCTCTAGGGGGTAAAATAATGTGTCATGTCTCAACTGGTTGACAAAAATCACTCAGAGCTGGCGTGGCCATTTGGTAGGTTTTCATCCCACCAAAACCAGCAACACAGAGTTACCTCTGTAAAGAGAAGAGAAAGCCAGAACTACTGATACTAAAACCCAGCATGGCCTACCAAGTACCAAATTTAGCTTAACAACAGCAAATGAATTTCAGATTACATTCTTTGGATCCTTTAAAGATGAGACCTGTTACATATAATTTTGTATACAACTTCCCATTTTAAGAAGCCCTCTTACAATTTTCCCTGCTATAAAATCTTACAAAAATATGGAGATATGAATTGAACAAATAGTATTGGAATAACTCCACGTATAATGTAACTTATTTCAGATCTTGTAAATGGATTTAGTGAGGATAAAGGGTGTTGGAAATCCTCAAGTCTACACATTAGGGTATGTGACTGCAGCACTGCTTTAATAAGATAAGCCATCCTCATGTATTTTAATATTTAATGAAAAATTTGGGGTCAGAGCCAAGAGGCCAGAACAGTCTCACAATTTAAGGTATTGTTTCTATGTTCAGTTCAACAGTAAAAACGCTTGACATGTATCATGTGGACAACTGCCTCCCAAAGGCTAAAAAGCCATCCTCGATTCCCGTTCTGGGATGAAGCTGCTGTTTAACTGCAGTTTTTGTGCACTGCTAAACTAATATGGAAATGGTCACAAAAGATCCTTCATTATGCACTTCCAGACCACTGTATTTACATATTTAAAAGTTAATTAAACTGACACCATATGGTCACCAAAGCCTTGTCCAGAGAATCATAAAGATATGCCTGATAACACACATGGCTCACAGAGAGCAGCAATAACGTTGCTCTATCAAAGAGCACATTAACAGAAATTACCATGAGAAAAAGATGTATGGTTGCACGTGCAAGATCAAACCTGCAGCCTCAATGCAGTCAGAAGTCTGTCAATCCAGAGACCCACAGCCAAATATGACACGGTTCAAGGAAAATAAAGCTTTGCAGAAGCACCAAAACTCCAGTCCCTGATTACAGTGAAAAACAGGCAAGTAAGGATCTGTGGGAAACCTCATGCTGCACCTCATTTAAGGCTAGAGCACTTCACAGCTGCTAGTTTTTCAAGTGTCACAGCCACAAAATCCCATCCAATGTGCACACTTTCACCAAAACACAGAAAAGGAAAACAAGAGACCACCTGTTCAGTCTGTAAAACCTAGATGTAAATGCTTTTTTGCTGTAAGGGATATAATGCATTAGAAATAATGCCAGAGTCGTGTATCTGCCTGTGTCCAGAGGTGGGTTACTGGATCAAACACTGCCCACCACCACCACAGGCCCCACGAGCAAGGCATGAAGGAGGCACAGCAGCTCGGCCAGTGACTCAGGACACTGGAGGGTTTTAAATGTCTCTTTTTGATAAAGCACTTGAACAGTGAGTACAGGCAAATCTCATCTTCTTCACCCTCACTGCTTCCCAAAGATACAGGGAATTGAAAAATAAATCCTCTTTTCAGAACAGATAAAGACTAACTCTTAGTGGTGCTGAGCACACTGTTCTAAAACACACAGATCCAACTCCAGAACAACAACCAACTGTCCATGTTTGTCAGTAACAAACGAGAGTGGGAAATTTTCAGAAAAGCCAACAAAAGAGAAGTCATCTTTCAGGATACCAGCCTCAGTGGGACCTTCATCCCCTTGACCCTCCAGTGTTTTATGACCATTTTCAGTTATGACACATGGCTTCCTGGTCACTCCTCAGGGCAGGAATCATGTCCTCATGTTTCTATCCAAGAGCCTTGAAAATTTACGGTCACTAGTCAAATATTAACTCATTTAGACTGTTGACTAAAAGCTAATGATTTCTGAGGCAAATGGGGTAAGATGGCACAGCTCAGTTCTGCACACTGAAGAGTTCATCTCGTTCAAAGTGGGTTCTGGGCACCCGAGCAGAGCCTGTGCTGCTGCCCAGACAGAAGTGCCCCTGGAGGGAGGTGCTGCACGAGGCTGCTGCAACCACCCCTGGCTGAGAGGCTGCTCCTGGCCACAGAAACACAGGCAGCAACACTCAACTGGAAACAAAACAAAACAAAAAAGAGAAATAGGAAGCAACACTGCTCATCCTGGCTAACTCTTATTTGTAAATAAGTACCTGCTTCTGAAATGACCCAGCTTATCAAGAAAAAATGCAATAAATTACCATTTTCTCAAAGCATCCTTCCATCTAAACGGATACACTGAAACTGTTTTCAGTCTTATGCTATCATATGTAATATATCAAAGTATTATCAAAGTATTTCAGGAAGAGATTAGACAATTTTCCTACCACTGTACCAGGCACTCACACAGCATTTACTGCGTATGATTAAGATTAACTCTGTTCAAAGAAGACATATTAAAATTTAACAGATGGGGAGAAGGGCAACTGTGACCATTTAGGGTATGAAGAACTTAAAGGCACGAAAACATCTGACAGGAAAATACAAGTCTCAACAAGAAAATGCCAAACACACAGCTGTAAACACCAACAGAGAGAAGGGCAATTCTGGCACAAATCCAAACGAGACTAAGTTGGTCAACCCCAAAATTTACAGAAGATATCTATCAGATGAGAAACCATCAGAAGAACCTC